CAGTAAGTGTGTTCAATACTTTTTCCCTGTGCCATTCCACATTATTACAAATAACTTCATTTCTGGACATTTATGGTTTGATTTCTTTGTATGTATGGGTCACTTGGGTTGTTACCAACATCTGGTGAAAATTTCATGTCATTAGCACCTCTAGTAATATATTTACTGAGAAAAACGGTGACGTGTTCAATACTAATTTTACCCGCTGTATACACATATACAGTAGCTGCAGTCAGTCATGATCACTAACCATAAACAGTGTGGATTAGAGAAAATCCACTATAAACTTTTGATTCTTGTCTATAAATATATACATAAACTGTATGCTATTTAATTAATCCACCTCAAGAAATAGAACAGTTCATAAAAACTGTTTTAAATCCGAAATTACTGCATGTTTTCATTGCCCTCCCCTCTCCTCCTCTTCATTATCAAGCTGCAAAGCCTCAYATGCAGGTTGAAACTTATGATTACAGTTTCCACCAGTTAAACTAGTTCAAAGAGCCAGGTGTTTTGTTTTTTTTACACACCAACCTTTGTTTGGAAATCTGAACCTTGGGTGGAGCATTTCGCAACCCGTTCGCTACTTCCCTCTTCTTACATCTACAGTACAAAGTGTAGTATGAACTCACCGGATGTGACCTAAAGCTGGGAGCTGTGCCTGCCTGGCTGCTGTCACTTTTCGCTCAGTATGGGGGACTGGAACACAACAACAACAACAACAACAACAACAACAACAACAACAACAAGCGGGCCCTTGACGCGCAGGAGAAGGGCGACTCTGGCAGCGGCGAGAGGAGTGAGCCTGCAGCCGGTGAACGGGAGCTCGGCGGCGGCCGAGCTGAGAGCCTGCGGCGGCGGCGGCGGCGGCGTGGAGAAGTTCCGCGRTGGTTCCCTGGTGCCGCCAAGTGAGGAGAAGAACCGCAAGAATGACATAAGTGACCGATTGAGGTGAGAGACGCTGRAAACCTCACTGAAACAAATGTTTGGCGAAACTTTATAAGTTTTGCTAACTAAGCTGCAGCTGCTAACATCTGAGGAATAAAGTGTGTCCTTGTTTTGTGTGGCTCATGTGGCAACAAGTWGGACCAGACGTGACTTTTTTTCCCTGTGGATCAAACATTCATTCACTCCAACTTAGTAACTTCTTTATTTTATGTTTTTTTGCTTTGTAAACCCATAACATCTTCAATCAAATAAAGGGGTCCCATGTTAGCAGTATATTTTTGAAACTGAAATGGAGAAAAGTCCTGTTGCATGCCTCTTTTCTAACAGCACTTTGTGTTGGTCTTGTAATCTGAGCAGTTGTGTTGCTGAAATGCACACACAAACCTTCACACACCGTTCAGCCTTAATGAAGGGATTGGACATGTGAACTCACTGCATAACTGATTAACTTTTGGGTTTGATTAGAAGAAGTGGCACCAAAATCCTCCATAAATAATTCAGTGCCACCTAAGGGTTGTTGCTTTTAAATGCTGAGTCATGGGCTCTAAAAATAAGTTAAAAAATACTAGATTAGACCCTTATTCTTTTCAAAGGAATAACAATTAATATAACAATTAATAATCTGCAGTTTGACAGTTGCACTTGGTAAGACTTCTTGAAATAAAGAAAACTTTTCAGGTTAACAAGATTAATAATGCAACATATTCTGATTTTGCTTAGTATATCGTTCTAAAAACAAGATCAAAATAATTTTTTAGCAGATATAACATTATAAAACTTAGTTAGATGAACATTAGTTAGATGAACAGTTT